GATGCTCCTGTTAGTACGAGATTAATTGCATTTAATGATACTGTGCATAGCAAACGAGGAGAATCAGCTGAAAGCTCCAGAAAGATTTAAGACTTTTCTTATACGACTTTGGCCCTGAGAGCTCCACACAAAGACAAACAGCAGATTTGTTATAAGTTGTTATATATTGCTGCAGAAATCTGCTGCCCAGATGATTTACTGTACAGCCTGATCATGCTCTCCCAGATGATCAGCTTCAGCTCAGCTTGGTCCCTGTTGGTGTAACTAGTGAGGATAAAGCCAGCTAGTTATGCCAAGATTATCTGCACTAGAAAGCTAATAGTAAGCAAGCAGAAAGCTGCAATGCTTACAGCTTTACAACTTTTGGGATTAATAAAAGATTGAAGTGTAAAAAAAAAGTTTTCTCAGGGCTCTATGCAGTGAGTACACCGGTCTGCAGACTAAGTACCTCCCGTACTTCTAAAGGAATTAACAGCAGCCAGGTGCTGATAATCAAATTCACTTTAATAACTGATCATCGGTTTGTGTGAGCACTCAGGTGTGTGGTAATAAAACGCCACAACCTTCCCAGGAGATGACACAAAGCTGCAGGCCTCTGTTAGCGTGCTAAATGTTCCACAGTATTACAGTATAGTTAGAAAGGCAGGGAACAAGTGTATTTGGAAAGAGTGCAAGGACATCTTGTCCTCTTTAAAGTGAACATGGCAGAACGGCAAATGTTTGAAATGACGTCCGAGTCCTTCAGACAGACGAGACTAAAACAGCCGTTTGGCCATAAAGCGCAGCACCAAAGGCAGAGAGTCCCGTGAAAACGGTGCTTTTTTCCTGCAGTTTTGTCGTATCTCATCTTTAGTAAAGATATTTTCTTCATTTGTTGGCGTTTTGTCCAGTTGCAGCATCGGACATTATGATAAACTGACATTTTGGGACACTGACGCAGAGCCAAATAAGTAATAGTAGCAGAGGGGGGCGTTGTGGTAGTTTAATGACCTAATCTTGGGATAGTTAAGCTAAACTCAGGAATTCCACACACTGCCTGGAAAACTGTCGTTGTTATGTCTTGATGATACCTGGCTAGTTACAGGCTGAACAAAGCAAACTCTGCTCTGCTGCGGCTTGAAGTTTAATAACCAGATCCAACATAGAGGGAAAAAGGCTGACTCACATCTGCAGTCTGTGGATACCCAGAAACAAACGTGCACCAGGAGCACCAGAGACGACTGCACTAACCCAAAGTGCGACTTCAAGGTCTGCCTGTATTTAACAGCAAGCGGGACCTTGTTGACATCACTAAAACCCATTTCATGGACTAATCGAATATCCTCTGCTTTATCCAGTATTCCTTTAAGAGGCACGTTGGATGATCTGTTCTTTCACTCTGATTTGTGTGTGTTGTCACATGCTCATGGCTGTTTTAAACATGATGCATGTAAACGTTTCATATACAGGAGCCAAGCGTGGAGCAGTACGAGTGAACTGTAGAGCTGCGACAGTGTCCAAGAACAGAAACAGGAAGTCAGAGATTGACCCAACAGCTCCAACGTAAAGAAAGGTGAGATATATCTATGATGTTTACTCTGGTGGAGATCATTCTGTCGGGTTTGCTACGATGCTAGCTCTGCACCGCAGGACTGACTGCTGCTGAATATGAGAGGCGGCCACTGATCGATCGGACAGCTGATGCACTCACCTGCAGCGGAGAAAAGCGTGGCGGGCCGTGCCAAGTCGCCGGGGTGGTGGATAGCACCAAAGAGGCTGGGGCCCGGGGGTCGACTCAGAAACTCGGGCTTGAGGCCGAAGTCTAGCTTGTGAGGGTCGACCTGCATCTGCTGCTGAAAGACGCCAAAGGTACAGAGAGAAACACATGTAAAATCTGTCGACGCAAGGCTGAGCTATCAGTGGGTCCGTTTGACCAGCATT